GACACACCCTTACCCAAACAGACATGACATACACATCTCCTGGTGAACAGGTAAGTCTTTTGACAATGCCCTTTGCCTTAGTTTTAAATATGCCTGTTGATAGAGAACTTGACCTTTGACCTGCTTTCACGTTTCTGAGCTCTGACGAGATACCTTTTCACAATGCTTTACTTTTTCAAGGCCCGTGCTGCTTTATTTTTACAAGGCCTGAGGCCTATATCGGGTAAAGGCCCTTTTAATACAGTCATTTTCGCTGCATCTGGACTGACGGATGAGCCAAATACCGCTATAATGACCTCACGTTCTATTCGGTTGAAGACATTAGTGATGGTTTGTTGTTTTTTCTCACCTGAATTTCCCAGCGTCCATGGTGCCGGCGTCCTTACCGATGCGTGATTTTCATGGTCACAGAGGTGACCTCGTCCCTGCTGGGGCTGCTTGGCGTCCATGGTGGCAGAACTTACTATAGGATCTATGGCGCTTCCATTGCCCACCCCTTCACTGCAGAGGGGAAGTATGCTTTAGTTTTCCCCTCTGTCTCTCTCAAAAAAAAAAAAAAAAAAAAAAAAGGGGGGGGTGAGAGTCGTGAAAACATTGTCCGTTATGTCCAGAAAAGCCTAGAAAAAATTGTTAATGCCGCAGCTCAAAGTTCATCTGCAAGCTGGATTTCCTGGACTGGGCCTAGCGTTTTCTTTTTTCTTTTTTTCTTTTTTTTTTTGGGACCATTTCTCGATTTATGTGTGTCATCCTCGCGCAGGGGCCATGTTATTCTTCTCTGTATCGTTCCCATTTTAACGGATGTCCTCCTGACCTTAGTTATTGTGTAGCTACTGAAATAAGTCCTCCTGCCCCTAATAATGAAAAGTGCTAATGTGAAAGCATGTTGTAAGACTCGTAACATTAAATTTAACGGACGTCCGCCTGACCTTAATTATGGCTAGCTACTAAAATAAGTCCCCCTAATCTAAGTATGCCCCGAATAATGAAAAGTGCTAATGTGAAAGCATGTCATAACATGAAACACAAAGTTCCTTCAGCTAGAGCAAGGCAGGTGTTGACAAAGAGAATGGCTCGCTCCCAGACTTGCCGAGGCCTCAGCATGAAACCCATGTAAGTCTTGTGCAGGGGGGCTGTGCAACGGTAGTCCTCTCTGTATTGTAACTATCATTCCAGTTTCATGGGTGTCCCAAAGAGCAGACTGTATCTAAGCTCAGACAGACTTCGCAGACGAGCAATCAGGAACTCCGACCACCGGGTTTCCAGTTCAAATTATCATAGTGATTGCAGTGTGATAGTGCTAATTGGATGAATGTGGTACCCTTATGCTGTGTAGAAAATCCAACTACAAATCAGACTCAAAATTTAGTAAGAAAGTTAAAAAAACGAAATACAACCTGCAATCGTGAACCAACGTTGTGCGTCAATATCATTATTATAATATTATGTGATGAATCGAGTTGGGTGATTTTGGTTCAATCATCAAATTGAATGTCATGTCGTGTTGTTGTGACATCAGATACCAGCAGTCAAGGGGACAACAGTGAAACTGAATGGAGTTCTTCTACAGCATGCACTTCTGTCATACAATCAGCTGGTCATGAAATGTGCCCAGCATTACTCCTGGTCAGATTACATTGCTCCACCCACCTTGCATTTTCTGTTCCATGGATTCTTATGCGCTCAGTCGTATGGCAACCAGGATGAAGCAGTGCTTACCATGGCACTATTTCTTTCACTTCCTTTACATTTTTCTTCTGTGCTCCCAACAGCCTCGGCACCTGGGCCCATCCTGACACTGGAATCTGGAGCAAATGGACAACATTCGGATGTCTGGGTCCTGATTCAGACCAAAGAGGAGGAGGAGGAGGAGGAGGAGGAGAACCATAGCAAGAAGAAGAAGAAGAAGAGGGGGAGGAGTAGGAGGAGGCAGAGGAAGAAGAAGAAGAAGAAGAAGAAGAAGAAGAAGAATTCACAGGGTAAAGAACAAACATCAAGTTGTTCACACGGAGGACAGAGCATTAGAAAATAAGCATTTCCATAATAACTCATGCCAAACATGGTTACTGTACACATCCCCTCGACGTGTTTCAAATTCGACGCCTTGCACGTACTCAAGTCTCGTCAGGAGGTAATATGAGGAGGGATCAAGTACCCTCCCTGACTGTATAGCCCATGAGTGCTGCTTCTCACTATCCTTCCTCTCTTCCCCCGTTCCTTCCTTATTCCCTTCACTTTCCCCACCTTCGATGCCCCGTCGTATCCCAGAGTCGAGGAGATGCGAGAACTTCGTGCACGCCTGGTGAGCGCAGTAGCAGCGGCGATACTCACCCAGTCACTCCACGGTATTCAGCACAAGCAGAGTGCTGGAAAAGGAAAGGAAGGTATGCGACCTCTGCTACAGTTATATTCCCGTGTTCCCATTGGTGCTGTTGTCTGGTGAGCCAAAAATCGAAAACGCGGTACTTTCTGTCACCCGCTGCCGTGTCAGACCCAGTTTCTACTGCACTCCGGCCTCAAACACTGGGTGCCCAAAAGATTGGAGCATGGCCCCTTCGCAAGGATGACACGCATAAATGGAGAAATGGTCCAAATTAAAAAAAAACTTAAAAAAGTGGGTCTGTTCATCGTCAGGATCGCAGCCATGCAGGGTCAGGAGTCAGATGTTGGACGCCCCTCTCACAGTGGTGAACATATTTTCTTTTTCCTTTTTCCTTTTTTCTTTTTTCTTTTTCTTTCAACAACATGGTGAACATGTTTTGAACTTCTCCCACTGGCCCCTGACCTTCTCAAAGACAGAAATGATGTTTTTTGTTGTTGAAAAAAAACCAACATGTTTTTTTTTTTTTCCCACTGTCATGAAGCACAACAGTTGTCGAACTTACGAGGTGCACATTTTGCATACTGGCCCCAACCAAAAAAAAAGAAGGGAAGGAAATTTGGAAATGTCAAAATGCGTGGAAAGCAACGACGAAACCCTCCTGAAGTGACCAGCCTCTCTGTGAGCCTATTTGGCAGTGGAGATGATGTTGAACCTGGTGAGTATAACAAAGCCAACACAGGGTAGAGAATAACCAACTCGGTTCTGTGGTCGCACGTTTGTGTTATGGTTCGGAGGGTGGACCGGGCGTCCAAGAGAATTGGTGTGGTTGCTCTCAGCTTTCCAGATCCACATGCAAATGCTGCCATGCCAATAATGATGCACACTGTGCCGATATCCATGCACGGGAGAGGATGCCCAGGGATTTGGTTCAGATCCCTAGGTATAGCTACCCCCCAAAAGGCCGCATCCCTGTACAAGGTCTGTCTCTTATACACATCTAGATGTGTATAAGAGACAGGCCGATATCCATGCACGGGAGAGGATGCCCAGGGATTTGGTTCAGATCCCTAGGTATAGCTACCCCCCAAAAGGCCGCATCCCTGTACAAGGTTGACGAACAAATGTGTGCAAGCAAGTACAGGCAGGCCAANCCCCCTCCTCCTCCAAACTGAAAAAATAAAATAAAAAAAGTGCGTTGCCGTGTGAGTACATGGTGACCGAAATGTGCAATTGGCAGAAGTCTGCGATTGTGTCTCACTCAAAATGTGATGCCAGCATGAGTCGAGGGGAAAGTTAGTTTTTCCAAGATCGCAAAGGCTGCAAAGTTCACAGGACAAAGGTCCTACACTGTCCACCCAAACAGAACGCCCGGTCATTATAACCTGTATTTAGGGAAAATTTCAGTCTAGATACAGCGATTATGCGTTCTGTTCCGGTGAAGATGGTAGAGTGAGTATGCCCTGAGAAATGTCGACACAATCACATAAACTTCATAAAGTGTTTACATTGGGAGTAAAGGTGTGAGCATGGGCAGTCTGTATGCCTCCCCTATTCCATGCAGGGCAGTTATTGCATAGAAGGAGAAAAGGGTAAAAACAAAGTGAGTAGCACATTTGGAGGGAGGGTATGAACTGTCACCCTGAAATAAAGTAGACTTTGAGAAGTTTGTTTGGTTAATGGATAAAAGGAACTTGGACCCGGTTTCCAGCATAGCTGAAGCTGGGCAATGGCCTCAGTAAGTCCCTTCTGGGTTGAATTGTGAGGTCTCTGGCCGCAGAGGTAAGGGTTTGGAAATATATGACAATTTCTCCTAATTGTAAAAAAGAAAAAAAGGAAAAAGACCTCAATAGATGCAAGGGTGACAGGGTACAACTTCCATAAAAACCGAGAGATGGTTAATGGTAGGCCCAAAATTCGTGGTTTTTTGCCACATCTTCAGAAGCAATGTCGTTGAGAATTTTGTGAACAAACAATGCAGGCTCATACTACAAACATAGAAAAAACAAACAAGCAAAAATAAAAACACGAAGAAGAAAAACTCTAAAGCACTATAACTTTATAAAACCCTATTCGGAGTAGCTTTTGGACTTCGCCGAAAATTTCGCCGAACTCTGTGTTTTGGCCAACTCTTTCGTTACTGGTCCTAATACGTCGAAACTGAATACCGATATATACCCTAAAGCAAAAACATATCACACACACACACACACACAAAAAAAAAAAAAAAAAAAAAAAAAAACAAGAAAAAAACGAAAATTCAGGGAAATATAGCAGTTTTGCCGAAAATGACACCACCTATTAAGTTAGAATTATTAATTAACCATTAGTGTAAAAACCGAGTATATCAAAATGACCTCCAGACTCCAGCATCATCCAAAATGATAGGGGTCAAAATTCTGCTGGTCTTGGTTTTGCAGCATGGAGATCATCTCCGTGTTTCTCTTTTCCAGTCCCATATGAATCAAGCCTCTTTTTTCGTTCTAATTCTTTCCCTCTCCGTCTCTCCATCTGACAGGTATGCGATGAAGGCAGCTTACGTCGCGAGAGGGGTGGAGCTCTTACCACCGGCATTTGCTTCGCTCTTTGATGATTCCGCGTCGATCTCAATTGATGCATTCTTCGATCCATCACAAGGGTTTGTTGACGCGAAAAATTTTGCTATGGGTAATACATCTCTTCGATCTTCCCATCTTTCTGTTCATCCTGCGCATTCGTTGCGTTTGTTTGTTGCCTTAGGCTGTTGACCGCTTTGCTGCATCACCATCTGAGAGAAAGGCAAAGGCAACCTGTCTGACGAGCACAGATTGCCACAATGCCATACTCTTAAACCGCCAGTGCATAAACCAGGCAAACCTGAGAATCAAAATCGGCTCATTCCAAAACGCTCGGAGGCTCGGGGCCACCAGACCAAAATGGCTGGCGGCTGGCGGCACCAGCCAAAAGAAAAGAGGAGAAAAGAAAGAGCGCAGTGCTGGCGTTTCGGCAGAGCTTGGCATGCAGGGGGCATCCGCCTCGGCAAAAAGAGGCTGTCGGATGTACTGGTGGTTTAGCCCTAGAATTGGAAGTATCACAGCTCACACAACTACTCTAGAGAGCATGTAACCCTTCTCAAGCAAATGCAATTCTATGCTCTCTCTCTCCCGATACCCGTCCTGAAGGTCATGCAGTGCATCCATGTGCTTCCTCTAGCGTTGTGGGAACGTCGCAAATCTCCCTCCTCCTGGTATTCTTAGATAGACGTAGGGCATACTCACATTGGGACTTTTTCAATCATTTATGGACGTAATTGCGGTCAGATACATCCGAGTCCGGCAGTAAATGCGGTCAGATACGTTTAACATAGAGCTCGCGTGAGTATCCCCTTCATACCCATTCCTTGGTGTGGAGGGAGGGCACCATGATATCACTCCTTCATTCTCGGAGCCTGGGCTTGGTTGAAAATTCGCAAAGGTAGGCAAAAACATTCTGCACCATTTTGCAAATGTGGGTGGTGGTGTATCCCCCTCTGCATGCATGTTTAAGGAAGAATCTTACAATTTTTTAACCGGGCGGCAGGAGCTTTATTTTTTGGCATTTTGCGTAATATTTGTAAATTTTCTGGGGAAACCTAGGCTTCCAGCCGGGCGGCTCTGGTCGCCATGTTTTCCCAGGCGGTCCGGCCGTGCAAGGACGTTGGAAGGTCCCAGCGAAAGTTAAAACAAAAAAATCCAAGAAATCCGAAAAAAGAACTTTGTTATGAAGAAAAATAAACTGAACAACTTTTGCCTCAGGGTCACATTGAAATTCTTTACCACATTCAGTTTCTTTTTTTGAGGCCCGGTCGGTCTCGGGCGGGCCACTCTGGTAGCCTACTGGGAAACTTCTTTTTTCTTTTTCTTTTTTTGAAGAAGCAAATCTTGTATTAATAATGCTGGAAGTCATGTCCAGTGTCCCGCACATACTGTTTTGTATCTTTGCGAGGCTCAAGGCCTCGACGAGCCCAGGCCCTGGCCCTGGCTGCCTTTTTCAAATGTAACTGAGGCAGGAACTGGGCCAGATACGCAACATGAGCCGAACACAGGCTGCGGCCAGTTAAACACGGGTAACCGCTCTAGGCCCTGGGCCTGACTCCCTGGACCGGGGCTCAGGCACTTGGGGCCTACCGGAAGCTTCTGAGGCAGGGGCCCAGCGCAGCCAGGCCGCATGCAGCAGGCAGGCCACTTCCATATAGGAAAGTGACTGCCCCCACGTTTGGCATTCGGGCACTTGCTACATGCTGCGCAAGCGCTGCTGCGCTACAGGCAGGCAAGCGCCCACGTGCTCACGGGCGAGCAAGGGATACGCAGGCAGCCATAGCCGAGCTGGCCTGCGAGGTGCTGGATGGGGCGCATGGGGGTCCTTGGGTACACGTGGCATCTGTGTGTGGAGGATCGAGGTTGTGAGTTACTATTGATATATTCAATTATGTCATATGGAATAATTATATCATATTAAATATTGTATACGGATATTGTATATATTGTATACATATATGATGAGTCGGTGAAACTCCGACGAAACAGTTTGTCACAGCCCCTCGTTTGTTGTCCTCTTCTCCCTCTCTGCCTACGGTTTACCGGGCAGTTCTATTTGACGATATATTGTATACAAATAGATATTGGAATTTTCATGGTACTAATTAGAAACTCTTGTCCCTTTTTTACCATATTACGAACTTCTTCGCTCATTAAATCAAAATCGTAAGGATCAGAATTAAAAGGATCATTTGCAACTACTGAGATTTCAGGTAATCAGTCTACTAATGCTCTTACAGTTTTGGGTACACGTGGCATCTGTGTGTGGAGGATCGAGGTTGTGAGTGATGCGAGAGACATACCTGGTGCTTGAGGCGAACGGCATTGGCCGAGATCTGCTCGTGCTTTGGGGAGCTGTTGACGTCACCAGCGACATTGTAGATAGGCTAGATATGATCTGCCATTTGTAGTCTGGGCGCAAAGCGTCGGATAGGAAATCGACATTGGTTCTTTGTTGATGATGATGAGACTACTCCAACATTTCCACTTATGAGATTTTTCTGTGCTCTCATTTGGTGGAACTCGAGTTGCAATTTTGCTTTTGGTTCGAGGTCACGGCTATCTGGTTTCATGTGTATGATGCTGCTTGGTTTATGGAATTCGCTATCGCTCATTTTCCTTGCATTTTGGTATCGGAGATGTGGTACGTTGCGCTAATCTGGCATTGGTCTTCTGCCTATGCAGTACATGCATGCGGTCTGCTGGGTGAGCGGCCGTAGGGCGTGTGTAGTGAGGAGGGCGAAGGCAAGCAGGCGCCAAGGAGGTGAGGGCTGTCGCCAGGAAGGCTATGAGGTGAAATCGGGTGCTCGCAGTGTGATGAGAACTATCTGATGTGTGATTGATGTTGAGGTGGAACGGCGGTGTAATGCTGGTTTTGCCGATGCAGTGATTGGTCATGACAATCAACGTCAGGTCATCTGGTGAGAATATATGTGGTTGGGGGCAGCTATTTTGATGTACGTTGCTCTTAACCTTATTTTTACTCTCTTCGACATTTCTTACTGCGAGGATGTGTGTTCTGTCTTGAGAGTCCTCTCATGTGAGGAGTCGAGTGCGCTCAACCTTGAGAGTCGGCATTGTTCACATGGAGCATCTGGAAGGAGAGGGCGGAGCTATCTGAAGGGCCCTGGACGAAGCATTGGGTCATGGTCACCAACCATGCCACCCACCGGGAGTACAGCACGCATGCTTTGCTGCTTTGTCCTTTGTCTGCCTGCTGCGCTATAGATGGGTTGTGAGGGGCAGGCCAGCCCTACAGGGGAGACGAGTGACGGACGTCTATAAATAAGTATCGGCGGGGTTACCTTCCATTGGCTGTGATCATCGTCCTGTCTGCGACGTTAAATGATTCCTGAGGACTTCGGGGGTTGTTCCTAAATGCCTCTTGATCAGCCAATCGGTCAGTGTAAGGCTCGCTGCACGCAAGGGTAAACATTGTGCAGGGCTGCCCAGCTCAGCATTGACTCGGGGCACAGGGGTGGGTCGTGTGCACACCTTTAGACACGCACACTATTTGGATTGCTCAGGGACGCTGACGTTGAGTGACACTCAAGAAGAATTGAGGGAGGGGTAGATTTCAGGTGATAAGTTCGGGAACAATTCCACTCTGCCAACAGCCCATCCAATGATTCTATTTTTTATTTTGACTAGTTAGATGTACAACCATTAACATCTGACAGACAACATATGTAGAACAGTCTTTGCCCATTTGCTTTCTTATTGGCGGACTAGTCGAAGTATAATAGTTTCATTGGTAGGAATTTGGACTTACCTGTTGGACCCAACTGTGTATACTCTGACATAGCCACCGATTAATAATTTTATTTATTTTAAATCGATCTGAGCACTACGCTGCGGTAGGCAACCGTGTGAAACTTAGTGCAGACAGTGGGCAGTGTTGTAGCTTATGAGCGACAAGGAGGTTCCTTGACTCGGACGATAGGATCCTGCGATTGGCAAGACGCCCATTGGCCCACGTGGCATTAGGACCCGAGGGTGACAGGTTTTTGTTCCGCCAGCTTAGGGAGAGGCAGCAGCAGCAGCGGAGAGCTAGGGACGCAGAGGCAAGCAGAGCCTTTGCAAGCGAGGCCACCACTTCAGCGGCCATGGCCACCGCAGCGCAGCAGAGTTCCCTGGCCAGCAGTTCATGAACTGTTGGGGCGACGGTCGCACAGACCCTCAGTCAGTCCGTTGTCGTCATGGCAAGCCAGTAGTTAGTGCTAACTCCCGAGGAGGTCGCCATACAGAGGGCAAGTGCTCAAGAGGCACAGCTACAGAAGGCATTAGATGAGATAGAGGCATAGAAGGATAGAATGATCAGGAGGACTAGGATGCAGTGGAGACAAGCGGACATTAGAGAGTTAGAGAGGATGGACCTGACTAATATGGATGCCGATGTGAGGATCGTGAGGACAACCCTGGTAGATGTAGTGGAGATGCAAGACTACCACACATCTCTCTTGCAGGACATTCAACGAAGGCCGTGCTGGTCGGGCGAGGTCAGGCAGCACCATCACCATCAGGGCCCGGTGCTTGGCCCGTGGTACTGCCTCCTCCTTTTGTCCCACCGGTGACTGGAGTATCCCCATTTCTAGTCTCTCCAGCATCGGTACAAGCCGCTTCCCTACTAGGAATGCCTTTGACAGGCGGGTCACCAACAGGTCCTAGTATACAGGTTCCGGTACAGACAGTGTTCTCCCAACCACCATTGCAGACTGTCGTAACTGAGCAGCCTGCCGTCTCACAGCCCCAGCAGCAGCTGGTGCAGCAGCCTGCATCCCAGGGTCCACAGCCTGGAGTGGTGCAGGTACCGTGATAAGGTCAGTGGGTTCCTAGGACTGCTATTGCTTCGCCTAAACCCTTCTTAGGGGATAAGAGGGGCGAAGACCTTGACACATGGTTGAGGTCAGTTCTAGTCTACGTGAAGTGCAAGTTGACCTTGCCGCACGGGGAAGTGCTTGTGGCTGCCTCCTACCTGGAGGGGAGTGCAGCAAGATGGTTAGGCGGGTTAGTACAACTGCAGGGATACGGTCATGACTTCCGCGCTTGAGCATTCAACCAGAAATTTGATGACTTTGATGGCTTCCTCAAGTTGGTGGAAAAAAGGTGGCA